CAAAAAAGGCAGGATGAGACACTTTGCAAAAAAAAAAAAAGGATGACAATTTATGTAAAAAAAAAGTCAGGATAAACTAAAAAAAAAAAGAAGGCTGATCCGAATAGAGTGAAAAATAAAAAGGCAGGACAGAGATTACAACAACAAAAAATGCAGGACAAAATTTTTCATCATAGCCCCCCACCCCCCCCCCCCCCCCCCCCCCCCCCATAAATATTAAATGGCAGCTCCCTAATAGTTAAAATGTCAAAATCACAAAAAACAGCCGTTGGACTATGAGTATGACTTTTGAGCAAATTTGGAGGGAAATGGGGCGTAGAGGGGGTCAAATAGTGTTCAAGGTAAGCAAATGCTCTTTAAATTATGCGTGTTTCAAAAATCGAGGAAAAATTACAGGGAAAGTTGGGTCATCTTTTCAGACTTAAGTTAAATAATGACTAATGTACTTACCTTCTAATTCTATATATATAAAAAAAAATCACAACTCAGAACAGGAACAATAACACTATGTCTATTTTACTTTGACTACTGATCTGCAAACCTACAAACAGACACAAAAATATCATAAAATAGTGAAATATAAGATTGATTGCACTTTGTATGGATAATTCCCACACGTGTTACTTGGGGAGCCCGTTTGTTTACAAATAATAATGTCACGTGTCACTGACGTCACAAATTTGCATCGCCCTTACAATACACTACACAATTCACACATACATAACCCATTTATCATGCAAACAGGCAAAGTGAATGTGATTGGTTGTCAAATAATACAAAAATATTGCATGTACAGTTAATGAAGAAATTAGTTCATCAAATTGATAAGATTTCACTCATGACACAAATCGACTGGGTTGACATTTCTGTCATCGGGGAAATGGGATTAAACTGATCGTCAAGAAGGTCTAGAGAACCACCTCTGGAGAACCTTAACATTAATAAGTAATACTTACCAAAATTACTTTATATCATTAAACGCTATTTAAATGAAATGTCAGAAAGATTACGATATAATACTGATGCAGGCGGGGATGCAGGTTATTTTCTTATATATTCTTACTCCTATTGTTTGAAGTAATAAAATTTGTATAGAATCAAATTTAACTAAAGTTCAGCGTTAACAAAAGTGAATATGCACAAAGATTTGTATAGTAAATCCTTGATATGCAGAAGCATGACAATATATTTATGATAAAATGTGTATATATTTCTGTAAAAGAATTAAGTTGCCCGTATACTTTACTAAGAATTACATTTGAGCGCAAAGAGATCTCTATTTGTGAATTGGTTTATTAACCCCGGTTGAACCCGGGGTCGAAGTTCAACATGTTAACATATTAACGGAAATTTACCTAATTGCATTCGGAATTCTCATGAGTTTTTATACCTTCAACGTGTTTTGCATTCAGAATTCTCATGACTTTTTATACCTTCAACGTATTTTCCAAATCATTTATTTATTTAGTATATTTATATATAATTTATATATAATATAATATATAGATATAACGATGTGTTCAGATAAGAACTGATTTGTTTAAGCCACACATACGTGTCCCTGTATCCCCGGACACAAAATGCATGCTAACTATATTTTGCAACGAAAATAAGACATATTGTGGAGAGACAAACTGAGTTATTTAACTATTAAACATATTCTAACCATGCATATCACTTAATGCATATATTTGGACTTGTGGCCGTAAAATCCGTCATTCCCATTCTTGACTCTTACATATATATTTGTTAAGTTTTGTTTTGCACTCCTAAATCAAACAAATACAAATGAATGTATGAAGATCTACGTAAGGCCAATGCACGTCTTAAAATTTAGAGTCGACGTTAACCGTTCGCTTCAAGTTGTATCAAACACACCACAAAGCTAAACTAGACTAAGCCGGGATACTTTTCAATGCAATTGCATTTTGAGAAAGTCCACACTTAAATCTTGTATCGGTATTGGTATTTAACATCAGAGCAGTATATAAATCCCTTTCCTAACACGTCTATTGCTTTGACATGTTTGAGTGATTGCGTGACCTTGACTTGATTTCACATTCCATCGGTCGGTCAATTGTCAGTTTATTTATTAGGACTGTTTCTCTGGGGCAATATGCAAATGAATTACTATATTTAGTTAATGATGTTCTTGTTATGTATTTATTTCTGTTAAGCAGGTTTCATTTTACCTTGATCAAATATGCAGGTATCACTGATAATGTTTAGTTTATATGATATTCGTATTAAGACTTATATATATATATATATATATCATTATTATTTTTTAAAATAAAACATAATTCCAATCAAGATAAGTAAAGAAGGTGAGACAATTCAGTGTGCGTACTCTTGTATTTAACAAATATTTACATTCAAAAATAGATGACATTTTGTGTAATAGTTGTTTTCCTCGACACTCCTGTTTTGGTCGCGCATCTTTTCCTTAACCAAAAAAGTTATCGACAAAATTTCTTTTTACTCATATTTGAATGTCGTACTGATACAGAGTCGGTCAATTTGAACAAATTAATCCGGTAATTATTTGTAGTGTTTATATACTAATAAGAAGATGTGGTAGGATTTTCAATCAGACAACTATCCACCTAAGTAAAAATGAAGGGTATGTTAGCAATTAAGGGCAACCGTTCCACCTTCAGCAATGAGAAAAACAACCTATATCGTAAAAAAGGCCAAACAGTGAAAAATATGAAACAATTCAACTGAGAAAATTAACGGCTCTATCTATAACAAGACAATTCACTGAAAACAAATATGACAGACATGAACCGACGACAACCACTGAACTTCAGGCTTCTGACTTGGAACTGGCACATAAAGAGTGACTTCCTAAGTTGTTTTTTGTCAAACTGGAATTTAGTATTTTACCACTTTTTCTTAATAACCGTATGTTAAGTTCATGGTTACAAGACAATTTTTTTTTACTTTTTCTACATTTTCCACATTTTGGTTTATTATTCATCACGTTCATAGCCGATTGATCCTCTTTCTTACCTGTTAATTATTTTTATTAAAACGTGTTGTTTGTTTGATCGTATTTCCTCATAAGCCAAAAATTAATTATAACGTAAATATTGTTTTGCTTTCCGCTGAATTAACAATTGTGATGTTACGAAAGAAGGTGACCCTGCCTGATGATGTTACGTAGAAAGAACACACCTTTGTGTAGATATACCGCCAAATACGCAATACGATTTTTCTTCACTCTCAACTGTTACAGTTAAATGATATATAAACAAGTCTAAATCGAAAACAACGTTCAAACCTATGATTGCGTTGGATAAAAACCGCAATTTTTATACGTGTGCATGCAAAACAAATTTCTTGGTAAAGGGGTCTAAATACAGCACAAACAACATTTTCCAAAAGACCAAAAAAGTGAAAAATATATTTTAACAAAACGCATTTGACTAGCAGGTCGAACAACGGATGTTCTTAAACCCTGCTGACTGCCATTGGCGATTGCCAAATAAAATGATCACCAGATGTAACAAAATGGATCTTAAATATTAATTTAATATCAAACAGAAAACAATAAACTTGCGGAAAAGATGGTATATATATATATATATAAATAAGTCTAAATTGAAAACAACGTTCAAACCTATGATTGCGTTGGATAAAAAACGCAATTTTTATACGTTTGCATGCAAAACAAATTTCTTGCTAGAAAGGTCTAAATATATATATATATCAAACGATCACCGAGGATAGCATTTTAAATTTGGAATCGTATATTGGTCTGGAAAGGAAAAATTTCGTATCAAACTCGATGCAGTGAAAGATGGTATATTCAATCCGATTACGCCACTGACCTCTCTTAACCAATATTTTCGTTGTATATGTTATCTCCCCTAACACTGTATTTCTTCTGGTTGACTCGATCATTGATTGTAGGTTTTAAATGGATTTTCAATAGTCTTGGCTATATAACGGTATTCATCTATAATTGGACGAGAAAGCCGAATTAGTCTGGGAGAATTTTCGACCTTCAGAAGGAAAACTGGCAATCCCTGGCTATTAAGAAATGGATTCGAACTCACATCTTCAGAATAACCAGGTTAGCAATCACTTTGAATACACTATTTTAACTTCGCTGTCAACGAGGTCGCTTTTTTCTGATGAGTACAGTTGCGTGCAGATCAAGCATAACATGTAAACCTGCAGCAAATGTTAGATCATTTTATGTCGTCTGTTTTATTTCACGTCTTGAAAAATTGCCTAGTTAAATCTACCGTAATGAAGTTTTGTAGTATTTATGTAACTATTCAATAATTTCTGAAAATATCTTTTGCAACATATGAATAAATCAGAGTAGAAGTATATCGATAATTTAAAAAAATAGTTCACGGGAGAAGTACACACGTGTTTTCTTATTGCACGTACAGGTAAAGATTGAAAATCTGTAGTAAACGCCCGTGTTCTACTGCCTATCGGACACAGAGTATACATGCGTTCATGCGTTTACTCGAGTAGACATTAGAAATTTCCATTTTGACCTTGTAAGCGTAACTGTAGTAAAACGCGCGTTTATTGGTAGACGAGAAAAGCGGAGTTAACAAATGCAATATGTGCAAGCGGCGTTAACGTGCGTTTAATTTGAGTTATGCTTGGTCTGCGCCAAACTGTACATATCTTTTTAACAAAAAAAAGGTGTTTTAATTGTTCGTTGTATCAACACGACGATTCGGTCTATCGTAACCAAAGCAATCTAGTGACATAATCTAGAAGTGATTGCTCCTTCTTGAGGGTTCCTTAGTGGCACATAAGAAATAAATCGGAAGCCATGAATAATCATTCCTTTTGACTTGAGATATTTCGACTACAACTTGATTTCTAGCTATAGGTCACAGTCTAAAGCAAAGGTCAGTGTCAATTTTTTACCAACCTGAAAGAAATAGTTCGGTTCGAAAATATTCACCATAGTACTAAAGTGCATATAGTCTTTCTTAACGATACTGTTTTTCTTTCATTTCTAGCACAGCAACTTTAAAAGACAAAAGACAGATAATGGTAAGTAGATTAGCAAGAATTTACCAATACACAAATTAAATAAAAAAAGGGAAATATGAATAAAAAAATATATGTAAATTAATCAGCAGTATTTATATTTTACAAGGCTGTCTACATATTGGCAAAATTATACGAAATGTTTTCCATTTTTTAAATTATTTAGTTCAAATAAAGTCATTTTTTATTTTAAGGAAACCATCACAGCGGTTAGAAGAAGTCTGACAATGAAATCACTTACAGTCGTTGATAAAATCACATACTCCATAATAGAACAAGAAAAAGATTTTAAAATGAATTCGAATGAAAACAAAGAAGAACAAAATGACATTTGCAAACTCTTTGAAACGACAGCAAAGTTTGTTAAGTGGAACGAAGAAAGGGACGACGAACTTTGGAAAAATGCTAAAATAACTATTTATGATTCTTGCGATCATGAATACGTCATCAGAAGTGGAAACGGAAAATCCAAATTCCTTGTCAACAGCGAGGGAAATGATATCCATATTTTACCCTTGGAAACAACAAAGTCGTCCAGCCAACAACATTTTTGTAGTTTAATGTAATATGGTAATGGTGTAAAATCTTGCGGATGACTCTATTTCTAGCTGTGTGTTTTATAACTTCTTTTTTTAACAATTCCGGATACCTTCCTTGACAATTTGATAAGACCATGTTCTTTATAGAATAGTATATTAATACACTAATAAAACAGTAACTATTTGTTGTAATATTTTATTAATTAAAGTACTCGTTGATTTTTAACCTATCAACGATCGATGCCTACGAAAGTGCTATGTTTGCTTTGCAACAATGTTCATAATGATAACACAATATATTCAAACGTCAATTTCGATTAACCAAAATCCTAGATTTTTTTTACAGTTTTTATCTAGATAGGTATCTCATAAATGTGTATCAGTAAAAAAACAAAATTTTGAAAAATGCTTCCAGTTTACAGAATAACCTACCAACATGAAACTATTGAATTCAGTAGCGTGCAAAACAATTTATGATATAATTATCAGCTAAACAGGCCACATCGTTACTAGCTATTTACAAAGTATCCATAAACCAAATGGTTTGAAATTGAACAAAAATGTAAAGATGGTACAGTTGGGTGCAGTCCTTACCTGGACAGCAATTTAATTTGCTAACCATTCATTTTGACTGATTAAAGCTAACCTGTGACAGGAATTAGGACTGCTGACCAGTCCTAGGACCACAATCAAATTAACTTGAAAAGTGGACTTGGTCCGATGACTGGTTTTATGACTGCCGAACTTACTTAGGTACAGGTACGCTACTATTATAAGTTAACTTCAAAATCAATTCTGCCATAAGTAAATATTGATTTTGACAATTCCGATCGAACACGACCTGATTCCAAGTTAACTGTTAACTGGTCTGCTCAACACTAAGTTAAATTGTAACCAGGACCGATCTACAAAGATGATTTTATAAAATATTTTTAAATGTCTTTGTTTCTTGATATAAACAATACCGATTAAATACATTTGTAAATAAAGGACGCTGCTAGTTAAACAAATGATCTGCCTTTTATAAATTAAAAACGATATTGGTTACGCTTCTAACGTGCATTGACTATATATATACATATTAATAAATATTAAATTCTTTAAGTCGTATAAACATTTACATGTATTTTTTTTTAAATGTTATAAGTTCTCATCTGATTTAAGATATAGTATATATCTGAAAAAAGTGGTTATATTATCAGATGAAGTCGGTAAACAATGGCAATAACGCATACCACTTAGAATGTATAAAAGGTGTAGAGTTACTAATATTTATCATGTTTATGGTCGGCTATAATTCAGAGTGCCCAAATTACTAATGTTTCTTTTCTGCACCGACTAACAGTGCCAGCATGTCCTCTTTTTATTCAAATAGTTTAATCATCACCAAACATCAAAAGTTTTTATATCTAGGCTCGTATATTATGATTATTTGAGCGCATCAACCAAAACTTACCATATTTGCATTTTATTATGTAAATTTATATAAACGCATAATAAATAAGTAATTTGTTTGTCAATGTCCGGATGAATTATATGATACAAATGACGGCAATATTGAAACACAATGACTACACAATTCTGTCCGCATCAATTCAGAGTGCCAGTCTGTTCTCTTTTTACCCAAATTTTTGACTTAAAAAACATTCAGTAGTTTTGAAACCTCACACTGGCTCGTATAACAACATTTTATGACCGTATCAACCAAAAAATGCCCATGTTTGCACTTTATCATATAAATTAACGTGGCCCCTTAATAAATCAGTAATAATTTTTATGTTATGATGGATTGTATAATGCAATTGACAGCAATATTGGAACACAATGAGTACAAAAATGTTGTCTGCATCAATTTAGAGTGCCAGCATGTCCTCTTTTTATTTAAAATCTTCACACGTCACAAACACAGTATTTTTCATATCTAACGCTGGGTTGTATAAAAAATACTGCATCAACCAAAACTGACCATATTTGTTCTTTATAATAAACATGATACAAGTATGACATGTATGAGGTGGCATCATCTGGGAATCCTTTACTGACGGTGTACATGTATAATATCCATGGTCATTTTCAATTTTATAACCGCTTCATGAATAATCAACTCAGGATGGCTTGTATAAAACAAATGACAGGAATATTGGTACACATTTGACCATGATGACTACAAAATATTTCTGCGATAATTTAAAGTGCAAGCATTTCCTTTTCGTATTCATAATATTGAATCGTCACTAAAGTCAGTAGTTTAGGATGTTTTGCATATCAAAACTATTTGACCGCATCATCCAACATTGACAAGACTACATAATGACAGGTATTAGAAAATTTCATGTTGGGATAGTATACTCACTGACTGTTAGTGTATTAAGTCAGTTGATTTATGTTGTTGGTAGCTGAACGTCCAGGGGCAAATATTTCATTCATGTTCAGAACGAGTATATTTTTCGAAAGATATCATTTATTATCGGTAAAGATTAATCTGACGAATTGACGAGATTAACTATACATGAACAACACCTTATATAACCGGACATTATACATTTTTCGTTCGAACATTTTGTCAAAAACAGAATCGTAAATCCCATGCAAACAAGGTGTATTACAATGATTAATCCATTTAATGCATAGGTGATACTTAGGAAGATACTGTAAAAAACGGAGAACGAAGCAACGTAAACGATGATGGTTATATCACACAAGTAATAGCTTCTCTAAAAAAGCCGTCTCTTAGCTGATGAAAGTGGAAAGTGTTCTCACTTTGTAGATTAATTCATTCAGAATAGCCTTGCAAATAAGATCCGTATCGTACTAATCCTTTAAAGCTTAACATACTGGATTGACATAATCTTTTGTGAGAGACCGTTCTTTTAAAATGCCAACAGTATTTTCGTATTTGAAATTTATAATTTTCTTTTATTTCTCTTTCTCTCATATAGCATATATATATATATATATATAGTATAAATGGTCAATAAACCTCAAAACAACTGTTCAATTCTTTATTAACCAAATGTTTTACAACATATAGGTACATGTATTAATAATAATTAATATATATACTAAATATAGATTACAAAAATATACGGTCTTGACAAAACAGACAGAAGTATTAAATACACATAAAAATAAATACCTATAAAGACTACTAGAAGTTTGTTCTTGTCCCTCCTCATTGGTTTAAGTAAGACTTTTTTTTGCAATTAAAATCACTGTCGTAAATGCTTTACATATTTGTCAAGCAATGTATCCCCTATGATGAAATAGCGTAACCATGCATCATAGCTATGTGTAGACATACTAATTGTAAAAAAATATTTGATCTCTAGGGTATCTTCCTTTTACCAGACTGAGACATATATATGTATTTACCATAAAAAGGTCGCAACCCCTTTCCGAGATAAAAATTCCCGTTTAAATTAATAATTAATAATCAGTATCTTCTATTTTTCAACCAAAACCAGGCATATAAAATAATGGAGGATGACCTGAGATATATTTTTTAGTCTTAGTTCTTTTGGCATAATCTATAGTATGGATACTTGTCATATTCAACTCCTAGTTTTATTCAAATTTGTCCTTTTAATTTTAAATCTCTTGTACAATAGCAGCACCTTTCCAGTTATTATTTATGTGTTGCGTCTAGATATGTATTATACCACTTTATAGTGACTGCAAAAGTGTTAACAAATCATCAAAAAATATAGAAGACACATCTAAATATCACCAGATCATTTGTCATTGCAGTTTATTGTCGGAAAACTGAGTAGCTCCGGTATGGATAGTAAAACATGTTAAAATCTTGTGAAAGGAAATAAGATATGTGCTCGGAACGCCATATCAATCATTCTTATTGGTTGATTCAGAGTCTGAGTGGGATAACCGTACTCGAAAATTTAACATCTTAACCCTGGAATAATTTGACCAGCCTAACTATATTATATATCTGGCTTATCAATGTTTAAATTTTGGATTTTACTTTATTTTTAGAGACACAATAACAATAATCTTGACAATCCACTTTGAAGTAACTTAAATCAACACACTATACACAGTGTACATTACTCTGGGATTGCGTTGATGATAGCTCAGAATATATATTTGTTATCTTTATGAGTATAATTACATTGCGTTGCAATGATTGTTTTGTCTTAATATATCTTTTAACGCTTTTTTCAACAGAATTGTAATATAAAGAATCATGCCTAACTCTCTTACCATAGCGTTTCATTGTTAATATCTTTATCATGTTTATTACACCACGATTTTTTAAAAATTGTATTGAAACTTTTAACCTGATCTAGTAAGGTAAATGGAATAGTATTACCCCTTGCACTCGTAGTGCATGCAAAGGAGAATGAATACATCTGTCTAAAAATTATTTCGAGGAGTATGAAACGTCTTTCCAGCGGTTGACATTTTGGTGAGAAAAAAAACCCCCAAATCAATGAAAACGTAATTATTTTGTCATATATATGACAATTATCAAATAAAACCTATATAAAACACCTGTTAAAAAAGAGGTTGAAGATACCAAGAGTACACAAACATCAAACATTCATAAGAAAAAGTTTTAACGTCATGACAAAATATAATAACGAAAACAACAAAACAAGCACGGAGAATTGAAAAGAGGGTGTTACACTACTTGTATATATATTTAAACGATTTGAATATAACATAGAAAGCAATATGGCTATGTATGAGAGGTTTTTTGCTACACTCATTATAGATATAAGGATTCAAACTGAGTACGCCAGATATTATATATCATTAAATTTTATTTTTTTCAGTGTAGTAATTATCAAAGATTTTTCAAAATTGTCTGAGACTGTAAGTGATATATAAAATGGTAAGTAAATAGATAATAACAGTTATTCTATGTTGATGAATTGATGTGTTGCTATTGATTTTTTTAGTAGCTGCTAGTTCTCTTCGTTTGGATTTGTGTTTTTTGTCATTTTGTCAGTTGTTATCTGTGCTTTGTTCTGATCTATTGAGTCGATATACAAATAAGATGACGTGATATGATTCACAATGAGACAGCTTTTAAGAGCTACTAAATGATAGTTGTAAGCATTTAAATGTCATCGTGCGACCATCATGCGCAAAACCCATACAATATAAAAAGTTATAAGTGGCTCTGTCATAATGAAATGTATAATGATGAAAGCGAGAG